TATATATATATATATAATATACGTCATAGGACATGAAATATTTCGGTATTGTATTATTAATAACAAGTTGTTCGGCCTTGGTGACGTATAGCCCGCCATTGTTTACATATTACGGTATTGTTATCATTCGCACGGCAAAATTCGAGCATCGAAGTAGTGGTACGAAACGCTTCATATATTGTCGAATTTTTCCTCTAAACGCAATCATGACTAATATTGAAGCATAATTCACATGATTATTACAAAATTAACGATCAATTAACTTTTAATAAACGACACAAAACTGTGTCGCGATGATAAATCTTTATCGAAGCGTGCATGCGATTATTCCGCAATTGGGAGAGTCATGCAAGGTGTCCGGCGATTATCACGTTCGACTAATCGTAATTAATCGTATTTTCGCGAGTGAGTGTAAGTGGTATGAGGATACAGCAAAAGAACGAGAGTGGAAAAAGAATTTCGGAAAAGCATCAGGCGACAGACGGAGCAACCGTAAGTAATTTATATTTGTATTTATCATTTTATATACACTTGGCACCCTTTTTCTTTGTTAATCGGTACCAATAATTATACAATCTCAATTTGAGAGACTGTAATAACTCTTTAAACTTTCCCAAAAAGTCGTAGACTAGAAAAATATCGGTACATAATGGCTAAATTGGAAATCCATATCATGTATTATTTTCAAAATAGACATTGCATTCTTTTTTCATTTTCTCGATAATTAATATTTAATTAATATTTTATAAAATATTTTATAATAATATAATTATATATTTATATAATTAAATATTTTATATATAAGAACTATATTTTTTCATTTACTCTATATTTTGTAAACATTTTTATTCAAGAAGAAACTTTTTTTGATAATTATCAAATTATTCATCATATTAAATATCTATTTAAGAAATAATAAAAAATTTGGTTGCGCGTAATAATTAATTTTTCAAAATCGATTATTTTTGAATTCTTTGCTTGATACACAGAATAGATCTGCAAAAATATTAATTGATTGTATTTGCACTTAATTTGCGTTTGTAACTTTCTTTATATCTCCCTCTTTTCTCCCTCTCCCCCCCCCCTCCCTCTCACTCTCTCTCTCTCTCTCTCTCTCTCTCTCTCTCTCTCTCTGCATCTTTTTTTCTTACAGGAACGTTGCCCCTCTTTCCGGCTAACCGTTCCTTCGGTCTTTTATGCCACCGCTTTCCGAGATCTCTCTTTAATTCTCAGCCACTCAATTAAAGCAAGCTCGGCTCTTTCGTTCTACTTTGCCCTTTCCTCTCCTCCTCTTCCACCCTTCCCTCCTCCATCTTCTACCCGTCTTAGTCTTTTCCTCTTTTTTTTCTCCTGCTTCTCCGCGCTCGAGTTCTTGACCACACTTATCGGCATTATCTGGAAGATGTCATTGCGCTTTTTATGCATCCTTCGGGCGCAGAACACATGCTCTTGGCGAAAGGCTTCTCCGCACTAGATCCACGATTTTGTGGCTTTGTCGATAAGTACTCTCCAATTAGTGCGAAAATATTTTTCTACTACTTTTTTTCCATGATTGCACGAATACGGAAGCACAGAAGGTGGTAATGGCAGAAAGAAATTTGATAACGATCTCAGGAACGAGAATATCGTGACTTTGATTAACTTTCTTTCGTGAATTTCATGTTTTGTCTCTGATAGTAGTGAATAGATAGCTAGATAGATAACTCCATTGGTATATGTGTTGAAATCAGTTCGTGAAATTGTTTTATCACTGATTGCGAGTTTAACTTTGAATTCATTATTTTGTCGGATACGAATTTCAAGAATGCAAAATAAAAGAATATCCGTATGAAAATTTCTAAGAAATCTTTGACCGTAAAAAAAAAATTCTCGTTATCTAAACATTGTATTAAATTTAAAAATAACAATGCTAACAAGTCTTTCTATGAAGATTTACAATATAAATTTATTAATATATGTATATATTATATATAATTGGCATAGCTCACTTTCATCTGTCGCATCTATTTTTATTGTAAATTGATCTTAATCATGAAAACTCTTAATAAATCCAAGTATCGTCGAATGCATGCTTTGAGAACAAGATGGAAACAAGATGATAATCGCGCAAGCACATTCGGACACACCTTTGTAAATTTCATAACGGAAATCGTTTCGAAAAGGAGAAAGGCAAACGGCACATTATCGAAAAGATATACCGTAGGTGGTTGGTGGTATACCGTAAATCCCAAAGGAACGTCTATATATTATATTACAAAATTATATATTGTATAATATAACCCTCCCATGGGTACACCTTGACGTGTTGGAGTGGCTTCAGTACCTGGACGGTATACCTTAAGGTCCTAAGGGTCCTAAAGGCTTACTGTGAAGGGGAAACCAAGTACCCAGCGTCGTCGTTGCTGTCATCGTGCCGCGGACGGCTCGTCGTATATATTGGTGCTGTCATCGTGTCGCGGATGACTTGTCGGGTCGTTGGTGCCGTCATCGTGCCGCGGATGACCTGTCGCGTCGTCGGTGCCGTCATCGTGCCGCGGATGGCTTTCGCG